GCCTGTTAACGCCTGCCTGAGGAAGGGGGCTGTGGGGGGCAACCTCACACCTGCTCTCTAATCCGTTCTTCCCCCACCCGGAGGCCCGGGAGCAGGCAGCAGGGGCTGGGGGCTGGCGGGTGCCCACTGCGAGCCGAGTCTGTCTTGGTTCTGTCCCGGCACCACACAGGATTCCTGGAGCCCGGCCAGGAGGGAGCCTGAGTGCAGAGCCGGGAGTCTGCCCCGAGCAGCTCCAGGCAGGGCCCCCAACAAAACCAAAGAACCAAGCAAAAAGAACAACAGCAAAGAAACACTAGGACGGACGACCCAGGGGTTTTCTGCAGAGAAAAACAAGCCCACGAAAAACAATTCCGAGAGCGCGGGAGAGAAAGCAGAGAAAGGAATTGAGTTTGGGCTGACTCCGCCGTCGGTGCCTGCGAATAGAGACGCTGTCCGCCCGGTTGCAGCAGTCGTTTCTACGGTTGTTCTTCGCAAAGGTAAAAAAAAATTCCATTTCCCCTGGTTGCCTTCCACGCACAGATGCAAGCCCCAGATGTGTCTATTTAGCCTCCTGTCGGGACGGCGTGGCGTGGAGAAAGCCGCCCGAGACCGGGCCCCTGAAGAAACAAGCGTCCCGACAGCTCAAGTGGGTCCAGTGCGGGTGCTTCGATGAGATCTACCTGAACCTGCCCTGAGAAACAGCCTTTCCAGGGCTGGGGCGGTGGGACGGCTGGTGCAGTGCTTGTGGTGCCCGTGACTGGGCTGGGTGGTCCCCAGCACCACACGACCACATGTGTTCTGCTAAGCCCCATCAGGAGAGACCCCCGGACAGTCAGAGCAAGCCCTGAGCACCACCAGGTGTGGCCCAGAAGCCAACCACGCAAGAAAGAGTAAAATAAAAAAGAATGAAAGGAGTACACCTCTCCCTCCCCCCCCAACCCCCAGACACACACAGACACACAGACACGCACACACACACACATATGCATGCACACACACTCTCAGACACAAACACAGACACATGCACTCACACATGCACACACACTCTCAGACACACACACACACGCACACATGCACATACACACATGCACACACATGCACACACACATACACACACTCAGACACACACAGACATGCACACTCTCAGACACACACTACACACACACTCTTTAAGACAAACACATGCACACACATACACACGCACACACGCACGCACACACACTCTCTCTTGAAATGCCGCCCTTGCCTGCACCTCCCGCTTCTCGCTGCCTGTCGCTGTGTGGGTTCTGTGTGTCCCCCATAAAACCAGGCTCTGGACTCGCAGGCGACAGGCGGGTCTCTCAGGTCCCCCTGGAGCCAGACCCTCACCTGCGAAGTATCACCACAGCAATGACACACGGCTCGGAGACCTGAGCCCAGCATCCCCCAGCCCTGCAGCTCTGGGCGAGGCCAGGCCCATCGGGCTGGAGGGAATCAGTCGGCCTGAGCAGTGGAGACACCCGGAGCTCTCCAGGGTCGGGTTTGGCTCCCTCCTTGCTGTGGCCGGAAAGCCCCAAGCCGGCCAGCACAGGGATGTCCGGAGCCAGGGCACACACCTCACCGGGGCTCAGAGTCTGGCGTGCACCTGCCCCTTCCCCTCACTCCCCTGCAGTGGGCACTACAAGCTGGCCATCTGCCAGGGAAGCCCTTTCTCAGCATGGCCAAGCATGACTCCCGCATCCCCCTGTCTGCCCCAGGCCGGCCCTGACCTGGACAACCCTTCCCAAGGAGGACAGCCCTGGGAGCACGGCCACCGAGCTGGGGGAGGCGTGTAATACCACAGCCTGCAAATCAGAGCTGGCGGCTGTTGGGAGGATGCAACCGCTCTCCCTCCTGCTGGGGGAAATCCCTTCACCCTACCCCCTGCCGAGGGTCCTCACGCACACAAAGCCGAGGGCTGGAGACTCACCCCCACCTAGCACTCGCCCCTTCATCCTAGGACGGTTCACGCACACACCTGGGCCTCTTCGAGGGATCGTGCCTCATTTACAGAGAAGGCGATGATCTATTTACATATCTCTCCCTTTATTTCCCCAGCAGCCGGTGATTAAAAATGAAAAGGAAGAAATCACCCCAACACAAATATTTGTGAAGAAACAGCTCGAGGAAACGGCGATGAAGCAACGATCTAATTACTTCTGGTCCCGCCCTCCGCAACAAAGGAAGATAATATTCCTGGTGCATGATTGAATCATGCGTGATCACGGCAATGTGTTCAGTGAGCTGCGAGCGAGAACATTCGGACACTTATTCCCCCCGGACTGCCGCTTGAAGCTTCCTGCGCAGGTGGGGCCGGGCTGGCCCTGCTACTGTGATATTTTCCCAGCCTGCCTGTCTTGAGCTCATCAGTTTCTCCAGCTTCCTCCTTTCCTTCCTTCAGCAAGGAGCCGGTGTTTTAACTTGGGCCATCTTGATCAATAAGAGTTCTTTCTCGAGGCCTAACCACCCCTGCATTCGCAGGGATCCTGTGCTCAGGACCTTGCCACAAAGCCTTCGCGTTTTTTCTCTGACACACTCAAGGACTCCTGAATGTTTCATAACAGAAAAATGCACATAAATATCAAAATAAGTCCCCCTGTGTCACTCGTCATGGGAAGAAGAGAGAAAATTTCTCTATTTTCACGTTGGCTTAAAAATCGGGGGCTTTAGAAAGTTTCAGAAAAACCTTTTACCAGCTGAAAATAGAAAATAAATGGCATTCACACTCGCGATGCTTTTACTGTATGTACTTTTTTTTTTTTTTATGGGCAAGCTATCACTTTCCTTAGATTATCTGTGAGATAATAAGCTAAAGGCCAATTCAAGCAAAAACAGAAAATGCTCAGCTCACATACCTCGAGAAGACGAATGGCATGTGCCAAATGCAAATATTAAGATGATTTTTTTTTTTAGAACTTCTTCTGGAAACCGCTCCTATTTTCAAAATAAATAAATTATCCCCCAAACTGACCATTAGCTGCTCTGAGTAGTTGAAAATTGTGTTTGTGCTCAGAAAAATTGGCAGAATTCAGCAGATGAATTTCAGTCTAGTGGCCAAGATGATCAAGCAAATAACCCATTTATCAAATGTTAGCGACCTTTATCTGGTTTTATTTTGCAGTGCAGCCAGACATACTTTAAACTCACAGACAGGGCTGTTGGAACCAGGGGCCGAGCCCGGAGATGGAGAAGAATAAAACAGTGCCCCAAATGAACCCAATTTTGTTTAGTAGAATATATGGCTCCTATTTCCCCCAAATGTTTCCCTAAACATTTAAGCTGGAGTCAGGCGCGCTCGCGGCCCTCCTGTTCACCGAGCTATTTTCTTGCAGCCCGGCACAGTTTGAAGACAAGGTAGGGAGGAGGGGAAGAAATTAAGAGACTGAAGGATCACCCAGGGGCAAGATTAAACTCGCAGTTAAAATAAAATCATTTCCTCTGTTTCTATCCATCCCAGCAGGAGCGACTGTCTGCGGGTTTAGTCCCAGACACCCCCTACAGAAGACGGGTCTTCCACTCCCCACCCACCTGGACCTGGGTGCATTCATGAGGCCATCTTTGTCCACCTAGAGTCCATCCATCCAGGCATTCAACAAACCTTAGTGGACACCACCACTGACCTGGAACTACGTGGGCAGACACGCAAACACAGGCAAAGACAGATGTTGCCTCTCTGTGGCAAAGCCCATTGTATGTCTCAGAGAAGCAGTGAACAGATGGGCTTGTGCTGGACAAGGGGCCACGTGACCTCTGCGAGCATCGGGCATCCTGTTGGGTGAGGGGACATGGGGTTCACTGCTCCCAGCACTTGTGGGGCCTTGAGAAATGGTGACTAAGCCCAGCCCAGCAGCCACCCAAGGAAAGCCAAGTGCTTGATGCAGGGAGGGGCGTGGAGAGGCCGGGAAGGGGCCTGCCAGGCCAGGAGGGGCTCGGGCACTCCCAGGTGAGGGTCGGAGGCTGGCAGTGGACAGTGCAGCCGGGGGTGGGGGATGGGCTTGTGTCTTGGCAGGATGACAGCATGTGGTCGTGCGAGGAACAGAGGCACTGCCAGAGGGATGGACCCTCAAGGGTCCAGGACCCGCACCCAGGACCCGCAGCTGGCCAAGAGGGAGAGGGACACTCCGAGGACAGTCCAGGGGCACTCGGCAGAGAAACTGCCCAGGGGGGGCCTGTGCCCAAGACTGTCCCAAGGGCAGAGCAGACGATAAGGATGGAGCTCCAGGCCTGGCTCCGGGGGGCGGAGAATCTCAGACCCCCACCTAGCGCTCGCCTCTTCGTCCTAGGACGGTTCGAAGTCCTAGGTGCTCACTCCTGCCGGCCCCTGACTGCTCCTGCTGGCCGTGCCCGCTCCTGCCCACTCCTGCCCACTCCTGCCTGCGCCTACCCGCAATGCTCTGCCCAGCAACTGTGACCGTGACATGGCGGGTGATGGGATGCCCGTGACCCGCTCCCCTTTCCCACATTGGCCAATCACGCGCCTCTCCACAGTTCATGCCGTGGTTCACGTGTGTGACATGTGTGCTCATCATCCATCCCCCGTGGAGTGGAGGGAGGGCCTTGATGCCCACAGCACACACACCGAATCACAAAACACACAGAGGACACAGGCCCTGGGTGGGCACCGTTCCCCCAGACACAGCGGGGCAGCTGGGAGGCAGGTGTCCCAGGGGAAGCTAAAGGTCCAAGAGTGGCCGAGACTGGCCAAGGCCCCGGGGCCACCAGCGAGGTGTGGGGAGATCCCGGTGGAACGTGGGGCGGAGAGTGATGAGGCCGTGGCACAGCCAGCCGCCTCCTCGGGTGGACAAGGGGCACGCACAGAGGCCCCCGTGGCTCAGGGCCTGCCAGGCCACCAGGCTGAGCGCAATGACCAGCCTGGGCCCGGCCTGGCTGTGGGGCTCACGGGGCCAGGAGTCATGGCTACCGCCACCAACTGACGCGCCCCCACGGTCCCCCACTGTCCCCCTGCACCCGCCCTGCCGGGATCTCGCCCGCCCTCTGCTCACCTCCCGGTCCAGCAGGGCGGGCGACACCACGGTGACGATGTCCCCTTTCTCGGGGTCGATGTAGAACATGTTGGGGGACGGCCGGTCAGGGGTCTGCTGGCGGATGTTGTACCGCAGGAGCGCGTTGTCGGTCGCTGGGTCGTCCGCGTCGAAGGCTGTCACCCGCATCACGGTGGTCCCTAAGGGGCAGGAGAGAGAGAAGGGGACAGGGTCAGCATGGCCAGCTCTGATGGTTCCTCTGCTTCCTTCCCTCCCTCCCTCCCTCCCTTTCTTCCTTCCCTTCCTTCCTTCCTTCCTTCCTTCCTTCCTTCCTTCCTTCCTTCTTTCCTTCCTTCCATCCACCCTTCCCTTCCTTCTTTCTTCCTTCCTTTCTTCCTTCATTCCCTTCCTTCCATCTCTTTCCCTCCTTTCCCTCCCTTCCTCCCTTCCTTCATCCCTCCCTCCCTCCCTCCCTCCCTCCCTCCCTCCCTCCCTCCCTCCCTCCCTCCCTACCTCCCTCCCTCTTTCCCTCCCTCCTTTCCTTCCTCCCTTTCCCTCCCACACTGTGGTCTAACGTGGCCTAGATCAAATGAGTCACAGCCTGTGAGGTCTGTGACCAGGAAGGAGCAAGCGGTCCCAGGAATCTTTGGCACCAACTTTGCCCTTGAGTGTAGAAAACACCAGAATGCTTAACCACGTGTCACAGGCCCAGCTCCTGGAAGGGGCCCAGTGCTCGGGGGACCCCGGACAGATCACACAGGGGCTGGAGGGGGCTGGGGTGAGGACGGTGTCACCCCCAGCCAGCAATGCTTAGAGCTCGTTTGCAAGCAGGGCCGACAGCGTCTACACAGAGAGGCTGAGCAGAGCAGGGGTGAGTGCGCAGGGTGGGGGGCTGGGGGCTGCTGGTCACGGCTGACCTGCACGGATCAGGAAGCCCCTTGCAGACACGTATGGATGCTTCTGAGCCCAGCAGGAGCAGGGCGTCTCAGGCAGGGGGCTGCAGTGACCACCCGCTCTCCGCGGGACTCTGTGCCTGGGCCAGTGTCTCCGGGATGGAAGCCACGTGGTTCCCACCATCAGATACTTAGTCATTGGCTGTGATTGATCGGGAGAAGGGGGCCCTGGCCACCCCAGGGTGGGTCAATTCACTAAATAGTCTCTTAACGCGGCCACCTGGGTTTCCATGAAACCGATGCACCGTCTGTCCTGTCTTGGCTGTCACTGCACAGAGGCAGGTGGGCAGGGAGGACGCAACTCTCAGGTGCAGAATCCTGGCCCTGGGGGACGCCCCTGAGGCTGGGCCTATCTCCTGCCTTCTCCAATCCTCGCCAGTCACTGCTTAGGACTGAAACGTTGGCCATGCAGGCCGCTTCATCTGTGGGGCAGCAGGGCAGCTGGCAGCCAGCCAGCCTGGCCTTGGCTCGGGCAGAGAGACCCCTCCCCCCCGCGCCCCGTGGAGGTGGGGAAACTCCCCTCGGAGACACGGTCACTGCTGCTCTCCTGGTCAGTTGGATCCAGCTGTGTGGCCGGGGCTGTGCGGGGGGACCTGGCCTGTGGGAACCCCGCAGCCTCGCCACGGACGTCCCCTCCCAGGACCGGCGATGTCTGCTCTGTAAATTCTCTCCCAAGGGAGCTGCCGAGATGGCGCTGGTTTGGAATTCAGCTTCTCCTGAGGACCCCTGGGGGGGGGGGGGAGGAATGGGGTCAGGGCACCGCCTGGCCGCCTCCTGGGGGTGGGGGACAGGCTGGCCGGGGAGTGAGTGAGTGGACTCCGGGCTACCCAGGGTGGGCTGCTCTCAGAGATGGACTGGGCGGCCGTGGTGGTCAGAGATGGTGAGTGGGTGCAGTTGGGCCGTGGCTGTGTCCCAGGATGGACACACGGCCTGTCCACCTCCTCCTGCTGGCCACCCGCTGCCTCTTGCCACACTGGTCATCCCTGTCCCCAGCTGCCCGTGAGGAGAGGATCCAGCGCCCAGACCCCCAGCAGGACTGGGCGGGCAGGCCAAGGACAGGCCCATCAGAGGGTGCGGGTGGGCTAACCATTGAGCCACATGGCTTCGAGCAAGCCCCTGTCCTCAGCAGAAGGCTGGCCTTCCCCTGTCCGTAGCAGTGACCTCGTCCCTGCCCAGATTGCTTGGGCGTGAGTGGGGCAGTCGGCTCCCCCCATGGCCACTCCTGCCTTCTGCCTTACACACCTGAGGGTGCTCCTCTGCCTTCCAGCATTGACTCACCAAGTCCTCCTGGAACAGGCCCTAGCGGGACTGAGGATGGGCGACGTCTGAGACTGTAACTCCCCCCGATGCCTGGCAGCACCCATCAAGGCAAGGGCACGTGCCTCTGCAGAGAGTGGGCAACCTAGAAAATCAGCTGGTGCATGTGGGCTGTGGGCCAGCTCGTGGCACCGGGACACGAGACAGGCAGGTGAGAGCGTGCTTGTTCTCCTGGGCCCTCTTGCTGCCATGGCCTTGTCTGCGCTCAGTGACCCCTGAGGCCAATCCCTCTAACCACACGACATGCAGACGGAGGCACCGGGGGGCGCCTGGGGTCAAGCCACGTGAGTGAACTCAGGCAAGACGCTACAACCATCACCCAGAGAAGTGCCCTGACCTGCAAAACCAGGAGCGAGAGGGCTTTGTTTATTTACAAGATTTAAGTCTTGGTGTCCTCGGCCTGGCTGTCCTTGCCGGAGCCCCTTGGAGGGGGGTGGGTTGAGTTTCCTCCCCGCCCCGAGCAGAACCCCAGCAGCTGAAGACCTTCAGAACCAGCCACAACCATGCTGAGACCACTCTCCACACGCATGAAGGAACTGGCAGAGGAACAAAGGCATGCGGGTCCTGGGGCTGAGATCTCCAAGCCTGCTCGGATCGGGGCTGAGCATCCTCCACCCAGATCCTCCATCTTCCAGTAGGCAGGGGTCACACCCACCAACTGCCCCCAGTGCCAGGTAATCCCATCGATGGCCAAGACCCGGAGACTATAAAACCCAGCTCCCAGAAGCATCTTATTATCTCATTCTTACTTTGGACAACCTGGCAGGCTACCGAATGTAACCTGTCCACATGGCAGAGTCTGGCAAACTCCTCATGGCGTACCCAATATGCCAAATACCAGTAACAATGATGGGTCTCATTCTCCTAAAGAGCTTTGAATATAGCACTTTCTTAAAAATCTCAGGGCTAGGATGAAGGAGACGTTACTGGTGCCTGTTCAAGGCAATCGACGAACAACAGGATTATCGTGATCGTGATCGTGAAGTCTTGGCATGGTCCGTCGTCCAGCAACAGATAGCCAGCAAAGGAACGAGTGTAACCATTACATACAAGCTAGAAAGTATAGAAAGTAGCCACAGAAAAATCAAGTTTATGTTTAAGATGGAACTTGCCTTGATACAAAACAAGCAGCACAACATATTCAGGGAGTAAACCCAGAAGCAGAGAAAAAGGAGGAGGAAGAGAGGATAAAAAGGAACAGATGCAAGCAGAACATTGGTGAGAATAAAATGCAATTTATTTCCAAATGTTGGACTTCGGAATGGGCTTCTAATGGCCGTTGCAATATGTCAGCCATTGAGTCTTTCGAGAACGAAAATTAAAATAAACTTTTTTTTTTTCGGGCCAGACGATTCTGAATGAAAATGGCACCAAGCATTTACACTGAGGGAGGGTTTGAGTTGCGTCGGTGCCTTCAGATAGGAAGACGCGGCCGTTCTCCAAAACCAGCCTTTGCGAACGCCGCTTCCTCGTTAGCACGACGCTAAGTCGGTGCCTTGTGAAGCCACAATTATACGGCTTGATTTGAAACGCACTAGACTTGTCTCCAATTGGCCTTCCCTCCCTCGAGCTAGCTGGTTTTTTCCGTACAAATTGACAGTCAAATGTAATAAGTTATGACAAGTAGAGCCATGTTTGTTTCCCCGTCTGTTTTCAAAGACCGTTTATTTTTATACCAAGTTGGGGATGGTAACAAAAGATGCCCCTTCAGATGATTTCGACCCTCCCCTCCCCCAGAACTCCTCTCCCCCTCCGTCAGATTTTCAAGGCACATCCATCCTACTTTCCTGGTGAGTTACAGTTTATTTAAGTGGCAGCAGCTTTTAGGAAAGAAAACAACATTTTGGGATGTAAGGTAACAAACATATGGCTCGAACCAGGGTTCCTCCTGTCCTAACTCACTTTATTGCCCTAATTTCTTCATTTCATCCAGCATTTTTTTTGCTGTGAAAAAAAAATATATATATTAAATTTTTATTAGTGAAACACCATGAGGTACAGTTGTAGACTTACAAAGTTTTGTGCTTGGGTTTCAGTTATACAATGATCAAGTACCCATCCCTCCACCAGCGTCCATCCTCCACCACCATGGGTCCCAGCATCCCTCCCACCTCCCATCCGCCCCATCCCACCCTGCCTCTGTAGCAGGGCATTCCCTTTTGTTCTCTCTCTCTTATTGGGTGTTGTGGTTTGCAAAAGAGGCATTGAGTGGCAATCCTGTTCGGTCTATAGTGCACTTTCAGCATGCATCTCCCATCCTGGGAGGATCCTCCCAACACCCTTTCTTTGGTGCTCCCTTCTCTATCTGAGCTGCCTTTTCCCCTAGCATGTGTGGGTGGCCTCCAAGCCATGGAGCAAAACTCCTGGTACTAATCTCGGCCATTCTTGGGTGTTCGTCTCCTTTGTTTCATCCAGCATTTTAAGGCAGTGTGTTTCACCGACTATTGAAACGCCACTTAATTATTTTGATCCACCTTCTTTTCTCTGCAGCTCTTTGTGAAAGGGCACGGGGTTAACCCCATGGAAGGAACGGATCTTGCCTCAAACACATCCAAAAAGCAAGTTTAAGGGCCCCTTCCCAGGGGACAATGAAATCTCTGCATTGAATAAGCACCGGGAGCTGTACTTCTCAACGCAAAGACAGTCTCCACAAAACCCCACCATAACCAATGGGAAATTGTGGGTGTCTGTTTTGTTTAACCAGTTTAAGGGGATTATTTTCCAAAGGGTTATGAGTTCTCCCTGGGGATGGGCGATATCTAGCTTTGTTTTGGGGCCACGCCCAGCTGTGCTCAGGGATCACCCCTGCCTCTGTCCTCTGGGTGCTGGGGACCAAACCTGGAACGGCCCTGGGCAAGGCAGCTGCCCTACCTGCCGGACTTTCTCTCCAGCCCCGAGACATCTTTAGTCTGTCACCTGGCGGTGTGTGT